TTATTGGAAAAAAAAAAGTAATTAATTTAAGGCAATATCAAAATATCTGCGGAAATAGAAACAATATTATTTTAATAAATTAGTTACAATATATATATATAGGAGTATATATGGGCTATTAGTGGACTACATACAATATCTATTCGATAAGAAGCATATAAGTTAGCTAATAAAGTTAGAGAAAAAGTTTAATAAATTGAATGTGCATGTAGTTGTGACATTTTTATAAATAAATGTTATATTGAAAATTATAAATTAAGTTATTTGTTCTAAATGGAATATGTATATTTTTTTTTTCTAAAAAGAAATTTATAGATTTGGTAGACGAAAGAATGAAGTATTTAATACAATATTTTGTGAAATATATATATATATATATATTTGATAAATATTTTTTTAAAAAGTTGAATACTAATAAAGTCTTAAGAGAGTAAAATTTTGTTTACGTAACAACAATTTTCAACTTTGACGCTATTCATTTTTTAAAAATATTATATCAAATATATTTTACAGTTTGTTTACTATTTCAATAAAATTTCAAAATTTTAAAATTCTCTAAATGTTTTTGGTTTAGACCAAGCCTAATTCTTCATACAAAATATCTAATTAAACAATACTTTACATTACATCAAAATCTCCTTCAAATTCCAAATTTTATTGTTTCTAAACTCCAAGCACAATCTCAAAAAAAATATTTAGTTTTCACCATTTCAAATATTTTATTTCTAATAAAAATATACTAATTTTTTTGTCACAACAATCATCAAACAACTCTTTCATTAAAAATAAAATAAAATCTCTAAACAAGTTCCATTTGACGTTGGAATGCACTTTTAATGTAAAGCTCAGCCATCCAAATATATGCAAAATATTTATATTAAAATTTGCAATTAGGTACGTACTTACTTTAAAAATCTGAATAAGTATTAACTTTAAAGACCAATTGCATCAATCAAAAGTGATTCTTTTTTCTTTCTTTTATTTATAAAGTGATTCGATAAAGCACTTTAGGTCATAACACAATTGAATCTACATGTAGGGTAGGGCCTTCTCATTATTATAAAAATCTTATGTAATATTAATTAAATATATACTCTCTCCTTTCCAAAAGTATCTTGTTTTTCTATTTTTGTTCGTCTCAAATGATTGTTCAATTTTTTTATTTAATAAATGTGGTCCCATTTTAGTATTTTACATTATATTTTATACCCACTTTCAATTAAATATTATTATTCCTTAATTCTTGTGCCGACACCCAGTCAGGTACATTTTCTGGGATGGAGGAAATATATTTTTTCAATTTATTTCACGAAGAGATTACTTATCCTTGCTACACAAAAGAAAAACTCTCGTATGTATATATTTTTTTTGTTTAAATTCAAAATATCTTTTTTATCATTTTTGTTTGTGTCACTCAAAAATATTTATTTTTTATTTTAATTTAAGTAATCATACACTTAATTCATACTTAAATTATAAATATATGATTACACATACAATTAATTTATATTTAAAGTCAATGGACAAAAATATAAAAACTCTTGTACACCTCTAATAACCAGTAAAATATTACTCCCTCGGTTCCACTTACCATGTGTACCTTTTCATTTTCGTTCGTCTCACTTATTTTGTTATTTTTTTTAAAAAAAAAAGAATTATATACTTTAATCTTATTTTTAAAATGTTAATTTATAATTTTTTAAAAAAATGTTAATTAGACTAATTAGTTATTTTAATTTTAATTTATAATTATTTTTATTATATGATAATTATGTTTAATTATTTATTAATTATATATCTCTTGAATTCTCGAATCTACGGTAAAACAGACATAGATATCTGAAATTAAAAAAGTAATATTTTTTAATTTATTGTAAAATGGTAAAGAAGAACCGTTTTGGAGTGGGACTACAGAAAGTATGTAAACAATTTAATCCGTACGTAAAATGTGAAAACTAAATTAATAAATGAGTTGAATCAATGAGACGGGCAGGGCAGATTCGAGAAATTTTGTGGCAGCCAAACAGGGCCTCAACCTTTCCACGTTCCATATAAAATAAGAAATAAATGGAAATACACATAAGACAAGATGATAAATAAATGGAGTGAGTAATACTTACACTATCAACAACTTTCCTTTCTATTTATTTATTTATTTATTTTAATGACAATTGTTACGCAGCAAAAACAAATCAGATAGATACGGATAATAACTTTTATTTATTCATCTAGTAAGAAGTAAGTGGCCAAGATATTACAGATTTCAAATTTATTTAAGTGTGTGTTTTACTGATGTAGATTGCTAATTAATTAGAATTATCATGTTTATATATACATAAAGGCTGTTTTTGTTGGGAGGTTTGAATTTTGGATTGGGATTGGAATTGTAAAAAAATTGGATTTTGTATCATGCGTATTCATATAAAGTTGATTTTTAATATAATATAATTGTAAATCATTGTGGATGAGGCTGACAAACGATCACACTTGTATTTTTGTGTACTTTAGATATAAAGTAGATACTATTAATGGATCATACCTTTGAAAGTTTTGAGAAATGTTTGAGATTAAAATTTATTTGGAATTTAGTGCCAACGTGATAATAAAAATATACTTATAATTCTGGTTTGAAAATGAAACTTTTACTCGATTTGCCATGTTGGCATTTTCTTTGTAGTTTCTAGATTATTCAAGAATTTCAATGAAGTATAGCTTTAGCTTGTACATCATCTACTTGAAGTTGAAAGCTTAATCAGAAATTGATGAATTATTATTTATTATATGCGTCATTCTCATTGGTTTAAGTTTTGACTTGGAGGCATAATAAAGCATACAATAAATAAATCTATATATATATATATATACACATAGCAATGAAATGAAGACAATTAATAATTTCTTTTAGGCCGATTATCTTGTAATTAAATTATGAAGGTATATTGTAATATGAGTTAGACATAATAATCGGTCCTAAAAAATCACATTTAACATTTATTTTTCATACATTTTTTTATTCAACCTTATTCATCTTTAAAAAAAAAAAATAATAATAATAATAATAAAACAAATTCAAAAACATAAAACACCACAACCATAATCTAATTATTTAAAAAATAATAATAATAAAAATTTTTCTCTAATCAATCATTTGTTTTTCTTTAAAAATCGTTCCTTAGACCATCTTCAAGAACTCTATTTATGCAGTTTTAATTTCAATTTTAGAGTTGTTTATCTTTAATTCACAACTTTATTTTCTACTCCAATTTTTTTTTAAATATTCTATTTTATATATTATTTTAAACAATGTTTTATATTTACAATATACACCCAACTTTTATTATTATTCACATAATTAATTATTATAACTTAATAATATATTTTTAATATAAATAAATAATAATTTATTATTAACAATTTTTTTACAAGTTAAATACAAAAAGCGTTGAAGCTACAAAAAAACCACAATACTCCCACCGTTCCACCTAGCATGTCCATGTTGCTGTTTTTGTCTATCCCACGTCTTATCTTATGTCACTTTTCTTTTTTTTTAAAAAAAAAATATTAAGCTTTTTAATCTCATTTTAAATTTTCTAATTTCAATTTTTTTAAAATTTTAATTAAACTAATTAGTCATCTTAATCTTAATTTATAATGATTTATATTATATGTTAATTATTTTCACTAATACATTCTAAATTATTTACTAATTATATTTATCCTAAATTCTCGTGTCTACGGTAACTAAGACACCCAATGTGGGACGTAGGGAGTATTATTTAGGCTAAATTGTACAAAACTCATACATGATTTCACGAAATTGTGTCAAATACCTCATACTTTCAAAATTGTATTGAATTCCCACTGGTTTCATAAGAATTCTACATCTAACTCCTTCGGCCGTCCTTATTTAATAGTACTTGACTTGCACGTGCTCAAAATGCAAGTGATATATTCATTTATCTTGCATTTAGCTTCCAAATATAATTAAAAAAAAAAAAACTCTTAAAATCATAAAAAAAAAAAAAAAAACTATTTCTTGAGTATATTTATTGTTATTTGAAGTTAAATATAAGAATAATTAGTATATTTATAATCTGGAGGGTTTAGAAATAAATATTTTAAAATTCATTTGTATTTTGAGACACATAATCTTGTTAGATAAGGAAGGCGGAGCGGTTATATTTATACGGTACAATTTATTAAACTATGAGAATGATGCAATTTTAAAAATATAAAGTATTTGGCACAGCACGTGAGTTCGTGCAATTTAGCTTTTTTGTTTATTACGAAACTTTTTACAATTCCTTATAAAAAAGCAAAACATGGCATCCAAACAATAATTCAAATCAAAACCAAGATGATCATACAAAACCAAATCCAAAAGTAAACAAACCCGATGGGCCAACATTTTGAATCAAAAAATTATTTTTATTTTTGTTTTTATTTTTTACTATTTTAAACCAAACCACCAAAAAATACACCCACCCAACAAACTTTCCAAAGGTCATATGTAAGGCAAGTAACTTGTGAATATGCAGACATACATACAATGATTATCATTGTCCTAAACTCCACTAATTCCTAATAAAAAACAGCACACAAACAAGAAAGCATCTAAAAATTAAATTCAGAACAAAAGGGCAACAAACATATCCATTATTGTCATTTTTCAGCACCTCTAATTGAATAAAGCACTTGCTAATTAATGATATGCTTATAGCATATACCTAAACCAAATTCGTATCATAGTTATGACAAAAGTTTGTTACAATCTTCCCTGTTAAGTAAGAATCTTGTTATTGTTATTCTCAATTTTACTTGCTATTGAACAAATTCCTCAAATTTTTTGATAAATTGCTTGACCTACCCTACTGAACAAATTGTGTAACTGTTGAACTTGTTCCTTTAAGACATAATTTATGAATTTTCCTCACTGTTTCTGATCTAATCTAATCTAAAACTAGTGACAAAAACATTGAACCAATGAACCATATCAACAACACTTGAAAAGGATAAACTGCATATGTAAGTATTGTGCCTTAACATGCATGAAATTATAGAAATTTTGCACATTCTTTCATCAATAGATATGATGCTTTAAATTACAGATAGCGCACCTGTTCGCTACTGTTACTTAGCCCATCGAAAGGAGCTTCTTTTAGCCTCTACGCCCCTTTGGTGACACACTGAAACCATTGCTTCAACACCATGTTCAATGAGGATAGGAAAAAAACAGGTAAATGAGGCTCTTACTTATCCATGGATCCGCACATTTCCTTTATGAAAGAAGAAATAATCCAATCCAAACAAAAATGGAACAACTAATTATTGAAGTAGCTAGAACTCCAGCCACGATCTGCAACTACTCTAGTGTACATTTATATACAGGTTGATCTGCAGGGTACCATACCTTACTGCTCCCTAGCTTGCAATTATTTCTTCTCAAATAAATGCAAAATCGCAATCCACAAGTGAACCCTTCAAATGCTGAATCAGGATCAATAGAGAAAACAAGGTCAATTATAATTTGACTAGAAATCTATCCAAGATTTAATTGCAGAGCTTCTTACTTACATGTACAGAAATTGGAGGAATGGATTTCAATCCCGGGAAGCTTTCTAATTAATTTCTCTCATGTAATCCCGCTCGAATTCCTTGATCGTGGGGGCGAGTTTCTTCATGGTGTCGTCATAAACATAAGGGACAGCATCAAGCCAGGTTGTGGCATTCATGGCCGTCATGGGGAGCAAGGTGCGGCAGACCTCATCATGCACTGTGATGGCATTGTGGTAGTGATAGTATCGGATTTTAGTCTCTGTGTTGTGGAGCGTCCCGCCCTCAACATTCTCTGACATGTGTATTCCTGTCGCATATGCATTCTTGGCTTGTATGGCATACTTTCGATCTTTCCAGATATGTGTTCTTGAGTCCTTGAATAGAAGCTTCTCAAAACCCCACTCCCTGCTCATTCCAAATCAGGCCATAAACAAAGTTTAATCTCCATAACCCCTCCAAAGTATACATGTTTTCACCTGCAGAATGATCTCTAACACCAATTTGGCTCATCTCACCTAAAAGTTTTAAGCAGAAATGCATCATTTTACATCTATTTATGCATCATTCCTTATGAAGCAAGTTTTATATCAATGCACAATTTCACATTGATTCACTAAGGAGAAAATCAATGGCGGCAAACTAATTCAAAAGTAAGTATAATTTATGGATTGATGATGATAACCAAAGACAAACACAACAAACAATTAGCAATTATTCAGAAGCAGGACAGAGTAATTACCCTTGGGCGGGGGCGGAATCCTCCAAGCATAGCACGGCGGACATGGGATACTGGTCGATTGTAAACTGCGTGTTGTTGGAGAACTCTTGGAGAACTGATTCCAGAGTGTTTCCGTCGGGAATATAGATATACTCATCCACATCGAAGAAGAATGTCCAGTTGGCGGCGAATCGGTAGCGGTGGAGACAATCGTTCACCACCACGAACTGATTGTAATAGTAACTGTCGAACGCCGCCTGCGCCCTCACATCCTGCATCGTCACCCTCTCAGCTTTCACGTACGGCTCCAACACGGCCTCCACCTCCGGCGTAACGCCACCGGCGTTGTGGAATACGAAGTGGGAGCGGGGACCGAAAAACCACGTGTGATACGCCATCCACTCTCTGATTCGATCTGAGCTCAGGTTTCCGTACAGAGATGAACCGCAGTAGAGGTAGTCATAGTCGTATTTGTATGGGGGAGTGTATGCAGACTCGTTGTAGGCGCCCGGTGGCTCCTCCAGAGAGGTCAATTTCTCGTGCCTGTCGGAGGACTCTGCGTAGTAGGCGTAGAGCATCAATTTGCCGCCGCGGTTGTCGGCGTTTGGGTTCTCGGGGAACGTGCAATTGACGATGACGGTGGTGTAGACGCGGCCGTAGCCCCAATCGGGAAGCATCTTGTGCGCCTTGCCGGCGATTGAGGAACCGCCGCCGTTGGGTTCCCACCCGCATTTGAACCACGGGCTGCCGTAGACGTGAAGAGGCTTCGAAGCGAGACCTACCACAGTGAACGTGTTGGCGCCGCCGCGGTAGGCGCCGAATTGGACGAAGAGATCAGCGGCGCTGCCGTAGGATCGGAAGGTGCGATTATTGGGGTCGTCGTTGTCGTTGACCAGCTCCAGCTCCTGCTCCTGCTCCTGCTCAACAGTACTAGTACTAGATTCGACAGAGATCGATGATGAGGATGCGACGGAGCAGCGATAACGTGCGGAGAGGAGGCTCTCGTAGTAAGGCTTCCAGACGAACATGACGACGGTGAGGGCCAGCAATGTACCGAGGAAGGACCTCATGTCGAAGCAGATAAATGCCTTACCGATGGAATGCGTGCCGCCCTTCCTCGTCGAATCGAGACTACGAGAATGCAAGGATTCGCCTCCGCCGCCGCCGCGCTGCGGAGGAAATCTGGGCGGCAGCATCATGTGTGATAGTGAATCGGCGATGGCCAATTGGTGGAAGATAATTAGGCAAAATATCCAAATCCGATCCACCGTTGGATCTCTGCCACCTGCATTTGCATTTGCACATATACATTGTTGACCATTATACCCTTCAATATCTTAAATTGTCTGCAGCTAAACATTTCGTTCAATATTGCTCTCAGTATTTTACTGATAATTTTGAAACGGGAGTGAAAGGCGTGTTTCGTTTCAGACGGATTTTGGATGCTTATTTTAATAGAAAACTATAAGATTACTCTATAACTCTATATAGTCAATTGCAAATCTAAATTATAATCAAAAAAATATTTCTTCTTCCATGTTAGGCAAATTTAACACACTTTCTCTATTATTTAACCTACTTTTTGGATTAAATTCATCCTAAGGATAAAATAATTTATATACTATTTCGGAAAATTTGTATTGAACATTAAAGTACACAAAAAATGCAATTTATTGCTAGGCAAGCTTGTTGGCAACATCGTTTGAAACACTTAGGAGGTGTACAAGTAGGCTAATTAAAGTAGTTCTCGTCCACTAATCGAACATAACACGTTAATCAACTAGGGAAGTATAGTATTTTCAAGGGAACACACACCTCTTACATAATCACAAATAAAATTTGTGAAAAACAGTGAAGTAGAGGAATACAACCAAATGAAGCAAACTAAATTATCAACTTTGACATCGGTACTTTTTTTTAATCTTGTACACCAGAAGCTCAATTCATGCGTGTACGAAAATGTATGTATGAAGATGAAGGTGGGGATGCATGGTGCACTGTGTGTGACAACGAGAGTGAACGAAAGAAGTCGAAAGTAGCGGAATGATAATTGACCTAAAGTATACGAGGGTGAGTAATATATATATATATGGATCAGGGCACACAAGACAAAAGGTGGGCTGAGCCCAAAAAAAACCTAAAAGACTCAATAATGGAAGATTCATTGTTAACAATAAAGGAGGCAAGCTTTATGAATATTTTGATTTTGTTGGTTATAATATATTTATATATTTCTATATTAATATAATATATTATATAGTTTTTTTATATCATTATTTATATTTATTAATAAAATTTAAATATTTTATTATAATAAATTCAAAATAAAATGATATATTTAATTTATATATTCGAATATATATATATAGTAGGTATAAAATTCAAGCTGAATTCGAGCTTAAGTTTAAGTCTATATTGAGCTCCAGCTTCAATATGAGCATAACGAGCCGAAATTCGAACCACTATTTTAGCTTGAATTCTTAACAAATCAATCTAAGTTTATACCGCAAACACGTTTAAATTGAGTTTGAACAATAGATATTCGAGCTTGTTCGGCTCGTTTAAGAGCTCTACTCCCCGGCATGTCTGCAGAAATATTTAGAAGATATTGTACTTTTGTATGTGTCCCAATTTGGACACATGACATGTCTATAAATTGTTTTTGTAATTTGCATAATTTATTATCTGGCCAGCAATTTCAAATTGGGAAGAGTGCACTGTAAGAAATCAAATAATTGAGGTTTAATGAAGTGTAAGATTTGGATTAAAGGAGGTGGAGCTGCTCAACTAAAGTAAACTAAACTAAACTAATAATTGAGATGAAATAAGATTGTAATGAAGATAGTTGTTTTCTAGGAATGGATATGATTAGTAGAGATTAGTCAAAGTGTTGAAATGATTTCAATTTATCATTCTTTTCTATCTGTTTTAGTTGGATGTAATGTAAGCTATTTCAATCCATACGAGTTTGTCTGCAAATTTCTGTTTCATCCTTTCTTTCCATTACTCCAAATCAAATTTTAGGCCATACCTTCCAAAGTGCAAACATAATAATATAACATGTCTGTAGCCGCCTGTAGGCCTAAATCAAGTGCAAAACGCTCTCTACAACAAACTGGTGTTATTTAACCATTATTATCTTACAATGAAACTCTCATTCACCCCTACAAATCCAATACCATACTGCTAATAATAATAAATAGAATCATCATAATAATAATCATAAGAATAATAATACATATTTGATGATCTGATCAGATCTGATAACAGTAGTACACTACTTAACATTTCGCTCAGACTTTTGATGGTGATTCCGGGATGGGATGGGATCGATGCCGCCGAGGTCGGGTCTTCTCTTCTGCTGCTCTCTAAAGCTACACCATCATCTTGGTTAGATACATAGATAGATAGATAGATAGATAGATAGATAGAACATCTGTTGTTTGTGTATATATATATGATATGATATATGTTGTGTGTGTGTGTCAAAACAGCCACCTAAGATGCACCGAAGTCGAGATTCTCCCATGAAAACGGCGCAACACATCCGATGTTAGGGTGGCCTCTTAGGAACACGCACACGCACACACATACAGCAGCCACCACCAGCATTGAGTGGATGTACGGTCGCTGAAGCAACCCTTGTGACCCTCCTCCTCGAAACCTTTTGGCATATCCATGCGCCGCAGCAGCTGCACATTTACAACACAAGTTTTGCTCGCTCCGGATCTCTGAGCTAGAACTCGTCTCCTTTTCCTTGTTATCCTTCTCCAACTGGAATTGCTGGATCTCATTAACAATTGGTATAGAGATCTGCGCATTTTTGCGGTCTGCTAGCTTCTGGGCAACAAGGGCATTGTAGGAATGGTTATTTCTCATCAAGGCGTATGCATAGGGAGAAAGACCGTTGGCATCAAGCACAGAATTCCAACTCTGCAATCCAACCTACAAATCGAGGCAAGAAAAATGACTTAACAGCTGTAACAAAACACTACAAGGTAGTGTTCAAATACAACACAATCTTGACTCAAATACCCTAAAACTACACATCGAATTTATATCCAATCACATCATCTAATCTTTCTACAATACTTCATCTCATTTTTTAATAGAATAGAATAAAATAGAATCTCATAAAGAATAAGCATTACCTCTTGTGGATCATTTGTCAAAGCATCAATGATGTCATCCGACAAGGATGTGCAAGCAGCCAAATGTAAAGGTGTGACACCGCCAGGTCCAGCCAAATCAGGCTTGAAAATGAACTTTGCAGAATCATCAGCACCGTCAACAATAGAATAATGAATGAGCAAATCAACCATACTCCGAGACCTCCTTTTCACAGCCCTATTTAAGAGGTGGATTTCCGATAGCATTGCCAAGGACCGCCCTGCTAATTCTTTTCTAGCCAAGTTCATTTCCAGTAGAATGTCGAGGAGGGTTCTGACCACAGCACAAAGATCATGCTCAACAGAGAATACAAGAAGAAACTTAAACCTAGTAAGTTTATAAGCCGGAGCCTCAAATAGGGAAGCCTTGCACTTTCTTTGAAAGAGCCACCCAAGTTCATCCAAGAAATGCAAGGCATCTACTCTAGAACTTGGCTTTCCTGCATTGCGAACATGACTTGTTTGAATACCAGTACAAATTTCGTCAGTGACATGGAACAGGGGCTCAAGGCTTCTTAATTCTTGGCATATGTTATAATCTGCTATAATTATGGGAAAAGAAGATCCTTTGAAATTATTATCAACCTGCAGAAGCAGAATATAAACTGGTTCAGGAAGGATACCATTGACCCAACCAACATTCAGAAAGAATAATGCAAATTCATTGCTTGCCAAATTGCTATAACAGTATTACCTCAATGAAACAACGACCAAGTATGATTGATGCTGCCCCATGGACCTTAAAACCACCCAGGCATATCTCCTCGTCACATATAGCTTCTTCCGAAGATGATGCACTAACTTCTATTACATCAAACCCATCTGCATGAGTGCAGTGAATCCTGCACAACCAAAAATGAATCATATAGCGAAACAGCATCTTGAAATGGTTTGCTTAATTTAAATATCAACAACATACTTGGTTCCTGGAACCGACAATCTCCTCCCCTTTAATATAAGAGAAGTTTCTTCTCCCGCAACAACCGCCACTGGAGAAACTGAGATTAATTCTGGTGTACTCCAGGCTTTCAATGGTTTGCAGAGGCGGATTCTTCCTGAAGATCAATTGCAGAATATAGGTTGAGGAGTTAATGCTTTTGTGAGAATAGAAATCAAAGATATACAGTCACAAGTAAAAGAAGTGTACCACCCATGGATTGATGCCAGAATAATAGATAAGCAACACACTTACCGTTGTTATGGGAAGCCATTTGACTGTTTGTACAAACCAAAAATCGTCCACTTCCCCAAAAGTCAATATCAATGTCTTTGCTTAATGAATTAACATAACTTAGAAGGTTATCTTCAAGCTGCAAGCACACAGGCCCATGGAGGTCAATGAAAAGCCATATCAGTCAATTATATATACTGCACCGAAATACACTCACTTGATCCCAGACAATAGATGGCATTGACAAGTACAAGGATAGGACTATGCATCCAGGTTTAATGTAGCTTTCCATTTCTGATGGACTGTTTGAAAGCCAATTGTACACCTGGTAGGACAAAAAATTGCACCATCAAATTTGGCTTAATAAGAAGTATCATCAAGACCATCCAGTAAGACCAACCCTAACCTGAGAACGTAAAGAACCAGGTAACTGGCTGGGGTCCTTGTCAAACAATTTGAAACTTATTCGACCAGTACGATCCTAGCACAAACAGCACTCCAAATTTAGTCCAAAAGATTTCAAATGGACAGAAAGGACACCAAAAAATGATAAACATAAATAGATTGGCAAGTTTTGCTATGGGAAAAGGGCCATGATAAAAACTACCTGAACATCAGAATTCAGGCTAGAAGGTGAATGATCAGACCCAGAAGATGTATATCCAGCACGGTATGGAGAACTTTGAATTGAAACATTTTCATTAGTCCGGATGGTACCCCCAAAAAGCTGAAGAGATGTACTGCACCCATTACTAATGGTTGCTTTTGAAAATGCAAGCTCATCTTCACTATTTGATAAACGGCCATCCTTTGTATCTCTTGAACTGTGCATTGGGAACAAATCATGCACAAGTGGTGACGAAACAGGTGTTCTCTCTCCTGATGGATTACTACTGTTGGATGAAGGGTAATTCCCAACCATTGGCAGTATTCTTGCACTATTATCTTCAGGTGAGGAGCTACACAATTGTAAATGTAGATTGGGGGATGTTTCTTGAACAACACCATCTACCTCTACCAAAGGAGAATGGTAACTTGAACTACTTCTCACTCCACCAACTGGGGGAAATTCAGTCAAAGATCCTCCTTGCAAATTGACACGCATAACTTGATCAAAACAAGGTGACTTGCTCTTCTCAGAGTCACTTCCCTCGGTGCTTGGTTGAGATTGAATTTCTAGTGCATCAGCAGATGGCGCTCCTCGTGCCCCTGAAAGAACGTCCAGCAAGTCCTTGGTTGATGGTGAAATATTATTTCCACTCATTTGGTTGAGGTTTTCAGATTGTGAAGTGCTGCGTATACTTCCATTACCATTTCTTGGGAGTGGAATTTTGGCAGCCAAGCTTGCAGGTAAAGGCAATGAATTTATTTTATTAAGAATTTGAATAAGCTGATCCTTTTCAGGTGCTGATGCTAATGCACCATTCCTCTCATCAATGTTCCCTGCAGTTACAGATAGTAGTAGTTAGCACATACTTGATGCCTACAATGAGTATGTTTTTCGGACATAGAATATGCATGCTAGCATAAGCCCAAGTTACAAATGACTTGTATGTTACAAATGCTTTAAGACGAAGGTTTTTTGAATCTACACGATTTTCTGCTTATGTACCCTACACTATACATTCAAATTTAAGACAAATGCCCTATGAGTTCTTATGATAAATTATTGGGGATTCTCCTACAGAAAAAGCTTGGCAGATCCAAGGTCAATACTACAGCTACAACCTTTCTAGACCAGAAATTTCAAAATATGTCCTAGCAGTACTTTGCTTAACCTTTTGGATTAGTTAAAAATATACCTTGTGCACGAGCTAGCACTGCCAATAAATTAATGATATCCACATCACATTTGGTATTCTTGGGTGGGCTTCCAGGGATCAGCACCCGTGGTGTAGTGTCTTCTGGCTGAGTTTTCCTCCTCCTCCTATTATGTCCGGCAAGTCTACGTCTACAGCTTCTCTTCCCCTCATCAAACTCTGTAAGGAGGTGGAACCTGATGGGATAATAATGTTAAACAGTATGCTTGGCAATCTAGTGAGAACAGAAATTCTCTTGAGATATACATAATTCGAGCGTATAAATTAGAAGCTGCCATATATAGTGTTGGTGAAAGTATATCACAAAGCTATATATAGAGCTTTTTCAACCAAATGAAGACTATGCAAACCTGCTGCACTGCTGACAGAACCTCTGCATCTGTTTTCCCACTATCGCCTTACTGGCTTTGCTATGAACTTCACACACTTTGTGCCTCCTGTGATAGTCTTTCGCAGCAGACAGATCTTCCTTGCAGTCATCCACCTGACATACAGGATGACTAGCACCACCAGGCGATCCAGATCTTACTCTCTTAGTGGACCTTGACACAGGTGGCATCTCTTCAGCTAAAGCCATAGCATTGACACTGCTGCTTCCAGCCCCATCTCCAAGCTTCAACTGAAGATTCTCATCATCTTTTCCAGTATGGTCAGGTTTTGAATGATTGGAAGAGTTACTATGTACTTCCTTTATCCTTGGCATGTCCGGTGGAATCTGTGCATCACTTCCCACTTGGATTCCATCAGACTGCAATGGTCTGGCAATAAACCTCATACTGTCCCAATCCCATGACTTAGGGTTCCAGTTATCCGATGGATTCTGAGTAACAAAATTTGATGAATGGAAAGGCAAGCTCCGTTTCTTTGCTAAAGGATGCACATTGCAATATCTTTGGCCCATTGTTTGGTGGATTACAACAGGAGCAGCTACTTGGGGCCCCACTTCTTCCATCGCATGGAGATAAGTACGTTGTAAATGCCTTCAAAAGACAAAATATAACCATCGTCAGAATGTTAAACTCAGGAATCTAATGCTGTTTTACCAACAAATTGATGCAAAAATAAAGGTGTCTATCCAAATGTCCCATTTTTCAACAGCATTGTTTAACTAAAATAAAACATTATTTAACATCGTTTTGTCTACAGCCAGAAAACAGAGAGAACAAGGAGAAAAAAATTGCCACTTGACAAATGAATCATCAAATAGACACTGTAGATAAGTAAAGTGTATGTGCCAGACATTAATGTTTGAACAATTTTCGCAACCAAGAAAAGTGACAGCATAATTACTTTCATGCTTCGTCTTGTAATTTGTAGTATTTCTAGCCCGCATCCTTCATAGACACTAGCTTCTAGAACAGATGGAGCTGTTTCATCTAAAGACGTTCGAACACTATCCATAAACATAGATGTTAAATACTAAAGTGTATATTTATAGTAAGTACCTGAAATTTCACTTTCTTCTAGCATAGATTCTAGCCAATAGTTAAATTATTTACATAATTGGTAGGACTTAGGTGGAAGTAAGGATAAAATTCAATTAACTAATCAGTAAAAAGCTCAGTGAAGTTACAGAAACAAATGAAACTCCAGTCTCAGAAACAAAATTAGGTAACTAACATCATGCTTAAATAACTAGCTAGATTTACACAAAATTGTGATTAACTCGATAATGAAAAATTTTTCTGTCTCCTTTTCAGATTTGTGCAAATTTCAGATGGCCTACTTATGCACATACCATCATACAGCGTTTATTCGAAACAAACATGATGAACCCACTAATTTACACCATTAGTCTGGTGCTCTATAAAAGGCAGATTCTTCGCAAAATTGGAACACCACATCCTTTAAGTGATGATTAATGGATTCTATCATAACAGACTATCTCATGATTATATAGAAAGTATTTTTCACGATTCTACGACAAGTAGATCTGAGGTTAACTCCTGCAATTTTCTGCCTACCATCACACAACTAGCCTCCAATGATGTACACGAAAAGCTTCAGTTTCTAGGTTAGTGTTACATCAAAACTACAGCTGCAGCGACGTCATCCTGATTTCTCCTCAAATCAAAACAGGCCCTAAATCATTCAATAGAAATTCGGTATCAAGTTGTCTGGTTCTTTTTCCCTCTGCACCATCGCTTCATCCAAGTGCAGTCCAGAGCAATCAAAGGCCAACAACGAACTTTCAGTTTGGGAGTCAAAATTATCATAGAAAAATTCAAGTCTCATAGAAATGAAAATTTCTAAGAAAAAAAAAAGAGCCAAAATCAAAATCAAAATCAAAATAAAAAACCACACATGAGGAAGTAGACTACCAACCACCTTCACGAGTCAACAGGTTTCATCTTCCAAGCGGCCGCCTTTTGATGCCTCTATCGTCCGAACAAGCAAACACAGACAAACGAAGCTCCAAACCCCCAAAATTCCCAGATTCAAACAGCAGGCTTCTCCTCCAATCCGTTCGTCGGCGTTTCTACGGGCCGATAGACTGAATCTGGAGACGGAAAAAAGGGTACGGAGAGATCTGCGGGCAGGTAAATATTGGGGAAGACAGAAAAAGTGGAAATGAAAGGACCCCAAAACTCTCGCCACTCTCTCTCTCTCTTATCTCTCTCTTTGTCTCTCTCTCTATATTTTCTGCGCAACCATCTTTTACTTTTTCTTCTCCGTGCTTTTCTTTCAACGAACTTTCGCTTTGTTTCACACGCGACACATTTACCTTCTTTTACTTCTGTATCTCTCTCTCTCTCTCTCTCTCTCTCTGTGGCATCCGCTTTTGTTTGTACTTTAGTCCGGGCAGGGCAGGGCAGGGCAGCCATAGCCACTGGCACAGGCTCGCATATAGCCGTGTGACAGCTGGCAAGCCCACTCCAATGCAATTAATAAACTAAAATTAATTAACTAATAATGAAATAGTAGTAGTACTAGTACATTCGCTTTTATTTCAACTCTCCCACAACTCCGTACGCGGCACACTTAAACAAATACGTCTAATCATTTCTTAATTATGATTAATATTGATAAAATATTACCCCCTTCTTATCATAAAATACTAATCATTCTCCGTCACATAACAAAATATTCATTTTTTCATTTTAGTATGTCCATAACAAAGTATCAATTTCATTTTTTACTAACTGTACTATACTATGTACCTAACATTACAAATACCCTTACAACTTACAATATATTACACAAATGTCATTATCTTTATATCACACATACTAATAAAGTTATTTTAGTCATTTATACTTTATTCCTACTATATTTCAATATAATACTAATATTTTTAAAATTACGTGCAAAAAACAAATGGATATTTAATTTCGGGACAGAGGGAGTACAAAATTCAAAATAACATTTTTATGTTCTCACTCAAAAGTATATTTTTTATTTTTTAATAAAAATAATCCTATTATCCAAATATCTTAATTTTTTTTTTAAATTATAAATATACTATTACACATACAATTACATTATACAAAAATAATAATAATAATAATAATAAGGCAAAAATGTCAAATTTTTTTACACACTTCAACTCACTAATAAAACTTAGAATTATATTTTTTAATTTACTATAAAACTCCAAAAGACCATTTCAAAATAGACGGAGAGAATATAAAATATTTATATTTTTTATTTCGGAATCTCAGATAATATTTTTCTTTTAGAAATATGATTATTAACAGTAATTACATTTAAAATTTTATAATTTATATTCTCTTACGTTCCACATAATTTATTTTTATTTTCTATTTCTGTATATCCCACATAAATTGTCATTTTTTTTAAAAAAAATATGATTATACAATTTAATCACATTTGAAATTTTATAATGCATACTCTCTTAATTCCACATGATTTGTTCATATTTTCTATTTTTCGTTCATAATTTATCATTTCTTATTTCAAAAATATATTTATACATTTTAATCATATTTTAAATGTCATAATGCATGTTCCCTTCGTCCCTCATGATTTGTCCATATTTTCTATTTTTGGTTCGTCTCACATAATTTGTCATTTTTTATTTTGGAAATATGATTATACATTTTAATCATATTTTAAATTTTATAATTTATAATTCTCTTAATCTTAATTATAATTATTTTTATGAATACATTTTTTTAACTGCTTACTAATCATATTTTATCTAAATTCTGGCGTCTGCCTAAGTTATTTAGGACAGAGAGCTAATTTTCTTCGTCTTAATTAAACTATTTAGGGTGTATTTATTTGAAGGATTTGTGGGATATTTACTGTTTAACACATTTCTTTTCCCAAAACATCAAATCAAATATCAATTTTAAATTTTCTCTATTATATTAAAAATCAATTTTACATTCAAAACATCACATCAGTACCTATTTATATCACATTATACAACTATTCAAATTCAAAATTTTTACTATTCAAATATCAATCTAAAATCCAAACCCCCCAAATTAAACAAACACAGCCTTAATTATCTTAATCTTAATATATAATTATTTTTATTATTATACTCATTAGTTACTTACTAATTATACTTTACCTAAATTTTTGTATATACAGTAACGTTAACATATTATCATGGACGGAGGAGAAAGTATTTTATTCTTATAGTTTTTTTTTATCATAAAAAAATATTGTTATTTTTTAGTAAAAAAATATCACTTTGTTTTATTTTCTTTTTCTTTACTACAAAATGAAAATAATTTTATCTATTTTTATTAAAACTCGTATTGGATAAAATGGATATAAATATTGACGAGGGAGGAAGTATATACTTTTTTCGAAGGTTTTAGAATTTTGAAAATTAAAAAAAAAATTAAGTATTTTATGTGAAATATTTTATAAGAAAGAATATTTGATATGATATTATTAAAAAATAAATATTATTCTATCTCAACTTAAAGTACAATTTTTATCATTTTTTTCGGTTTCACTCCAAAATATTTATTTTTTATTTTAGTAAAAGTAATTATACATTAATACAAAAATAGCATTAATTTTTACTTAAATTACAAACATACTATTACATATACAATTAATTTTTACATAAAGTCAAAAACAAAAATATCAAGACCTTTTACAGTTTTCCACTAATTAATAAAATATTATTTTTTTCTTAATTTATAACAAAACTCCAAAATGCCCCTTTAGATCGCGACTGGAAGAGTAATAACAATTCCAAATTTGATATTATATCATCCAGTGGCAAGTTAGACTGTAAGTTAGACTATTAGATTGAAGTTGAAGTGAGATACAAATCATTTTTAAATTATTTGTTTAGATATTTAGATTTTGACTATGAATTTTAAATAGTAAAATTTTAATTTAAAATAATTATTTAATTTGAAATAAATAAATATTGTCATCATATTTTTTTTAGTATAAAATTAATTTTTTTATTAAAATATAAAAATAAAAAATTAATACTTGATTTAATATTTTTTTTAAAAAAATTATATAAACATTAAACCGTAAAAATCTATTAAAATTCTTGAAACAAAACACTATTTTCACTATATATTTTTTAAAAAATACTATTACCTAAAAATATACTCCCTCCGTTCATATTATGTTGTCATGTTTACGGTAGATACGGGGATTTAGAAGTATAATTAGTAAAATAATTAATAATATATTAGTAAAATTAATTATAATATAATACAAATAATTATAGATTAAGATTAAATAACTTATTATTTTAATAAAAATTAAAAAATTTATAAATAATAAAATTTAAATTATGATTATAATGAAAAATAATTTTCCAAAAATAATAAATAACATAAAATGTGGAACGGACGAAAATGAAAAGTATAACATAATATATGAACGAGAAGAGTAATATATATACGTAATATAATAAATATTACAGAAAAATCGAGACAAACAAATAAGTATCATTTTCATACTTTTACAATTCTCCAAATTTACGATAAAATACCAAAAAATTATAAATAGTAAACAAATATGTTCTATCTTTCTTTTAAAATGTATTCCTTCCATAACACTTGAATATACTCTTTTGGATTTTGTAGGAAATTAAAAAATAATAGTATTTTATTAGTTAGCGGAAATATATAAGATGTTTTGATATTTTTATTTTTAACTTTATGTACAAAATTTTTGTATGTGTAATAGTATATTGTAATTTAAGTAAAAATTAAATGTATTTTTATTTATATTAGTATATGATTATTTTTACTAAAATATAAAATAGATACTTTTGAGTGAGATAAATGAAAATTGTAAAAATAAGTATTTTAAGTTGAGATGTAGAAAGTATTATTTGTCAAACAATTCTTCAAACTTGTCAAATCAAATATTTATTTTTATTTAATTTATTATTTAAAATATCATATTAAATATTTATTTTTGAAACTAATTTCTAGTTTGAGCTAAAACATGAGCTTAAAGAAGTTGAGTTCAAAGATTTGATTATCCGAATTCTTACTGAAGAAGATAAGAGCCGAACAAAAATATAGATATTGCCAATGGCAACTTAATCAGAAAGCCTTAAAAAAAAGTGCACATTCACTTCAAGCTAAAGAGAACAACGTTAAGGCAAAATAACCCAAATTTATGAATTTAACTGTGGAAAAGGACACTTAGGGAAAAGAATGGAAAACATCTAAGCAGAAGAAGACAAATCAAAGTTCTCACTTCATCGAGATGTACCACAAAATTTTTTGTGACTTTCAACGAGCCTAATAATGTTGAGAGTCAAAAGAATATTTTGATAAGAAAGTTGCACATGGAAAATCTGTTGTGTAACTTTCCAATGTCGCACATAAGAAAATAGATTAAAAAGTAGGGGCATTGATTCCTATAAATTGACCCATTTGGGTCTTGTTTTAAGATACGCCAAGAAGTCTTTTTTTCCCTTAGTAACTAGAGAGAGTGAAATTGAGATTTAGTGAGTTATGGTGAAAAGGGTTTTACAATTTTGTCCGTGCAAAAATTTTAATAGATATTTTAGTGGATTATCCCGTTTTGGGATCGTAGATGTAGGTTTGTTGTGAGACCGAACCACGTTAAAATTCTCGTGTCTTATATTTTTTTTCTCTCTTCTCTTGTGTGTTCCCAACAAAATCACGCGACTTTAGAGGCTAAAGATGGAGGTAACGTAGCGCTGAAGATGACCTCCTAGAAAGAGCTGACATTGAAGGTATCTTGCATATACCTGACATCTAAAAAAACACACTCGTTTATGGTTCGCTATTTGTAAGATATGATTATAAAAAAAATAGCATAGTTTAGCTAAAGATTATCCTACTAATGGTTTATTTAAATTCAATACAATGGTTGTGCGTTGAGCACATGCTAATAAAAAATATAGTTTATTATTCAATTAGTAAATATGAATCTACTAACTATCAAAGAAGTAAAAACTCAAAGCAAATATATGAAATTTATGTGGAGGTACAAATGATTAAGGTATATTTTTTTTTTCTTCAGAAAATACATTAATCCATTGAAGTTAATTCACATTGATATGTGTGATTTGAACTTTGTCCGAACAGGAGATGAAAATATATTTAATCACATTTATAAATGATTATATAAGGTATTTTTCTCTTTACCTATTAAAAGAAAAAAAAAATAATAAAGCAACTAATGCTTTCCAAAAGTTCAAAATTGATGCCGAAAATCAACTTGGCCATAAGATTAATGTTGTTGAAAGTGGCATATGTGATAAGTATATAGCACTGTTTGAAGAATTATGTGATGAAATTAGCATAA